AATGACAAGTTAGCCCTTTTGATCATAAATCAACTGTTACCTTTTTCTCTGTTTGTGGAGTTTTCAAGGAGAAATATCCTAGTAGATCCACAAACTGGGCAGCCTTTCGACCATAGGCTGGGAGTTCTGGCCATATGGACCACATCAGATCTAGCAGGAGCTCCTGTTGAGATTTGCTAGAGTTTCTGTAGATAAATGGCAGTTCATATTACCAAGCAGCAGAAAGCCCTGAGGTTCTTTATCAACAAGGCCCAGGTACTATTTTTCTAGGTGCAGCTATTGCCCCATAACTATGAGTTAAGTTTGAATGGTTTTGTTGCTCTTTTGACAATCCATCCTAACAGATGTAGGACAGTCCTTTCCTGTCTTCGGGAGGCGGTCTATTCCCATCATCCAACATTACTCAATGGCAGTAACCAAGCTTTGTTAGCCTAACGAGTCAAGCCTGATCATTTTACAAATTTCTAGAAGCATAGCCTTCTTAGTGGGAAACAGATAATCTCTTGCTTAAAACATCAGTTTAATACTAAAAATCAGATAACTCAATGAAGAAATCTGTAATACTTAAGAGGATGCTCAGGCTGGTATAAATATTGACACTGTGACCGTGAGCGTGTAACATAAAACCAAGCCAGAACTACACCGTCCACTCTGGTCCCAGATCCATGAAGACTGTTAAAACCGCCCTGGACCCTACCTGTAGATATGCAGTGTCAGGCAGTGGGCCTGCCAGCGCACCGAGGAAGAATTGGACTCTAACAGGAAGCAACGCAGAAATTGGACCAAGGTTTCCTTATCTGCAAATTTGTTCAGTTGGTTCACCAGAGCTGTGCACAGCTGGTCCTCCTGGCTGCCTGAGCTCTCACCTGCAAGATCAAGGCAAGAAGAATAGGGGGAAGTGGTCTAGAGTATCATAGCCAGCACTAGCATATACAGAGGGAGAAGAGGCTGTCCACGTCTAAATGTTGGAGCTAAATGGTTATAATTTGAAAACAACTTTCAGTTGCTTCCTGGGAGACAAAAGGTCAACCTCAAAGAGACATATAATAATGCACCCCCTCAAAAGCAGAAAGTGCCTATAATTCGCCTGGCACTGAACAAACATAGTTACACTGGAGGAGAAATAACCTTTCGAAAGCTTGCTACCAAAAACAGTCAATATTACTACACACCTACTTGAACAGAGAGATCTGAATAATTGAGAGGATGTGAACACATTCCTTGCTTTCCACCCCTGATCACCTGTCTCGGGCCACCAAGGACCATGAAAAGCAGTTAAGCAGAAAGGCACTTGCATTTCTGATGGTGAGAAGTCAGGTAAAACAGGTTACATTTATAGAGCATTCAACAGTTTACAGGGCACATTTCATTTCACACTGACAAACTTGCCACAGAACAATTATTATTATTTCACAGAAAAAGGAACTTGGCCTAGTAAAAATGTTGTCTACTTTGACCTTTCCTATCACAGTCACTTAGGATGAGAAGGCACACTGTTCAAGGTGTCACCTTCAATGCAACTGAAAATGAGACCAAAAGTAGAGCCCAGAGGTCATTGGGTTTTAGGTCCCCTTTAAGTCAGGATGAAAGACACTTCAGAAGAGAATAAGCCTTGTGCTTCAGGAGAGACTAGACTATTATCACCCTGGTCTCTTACCCTCTTTCTCCTTTTCCTTTTCTTCTTTCTTGCTCTTCTTAGTGGAGGACTTAGACTGTGTTGTGGCTTGTCCAGAGCTGGAGGCCACAGGGGCTGAGGAGGAGGAACTGGAGGACGCTGTTGAGGCCGCCAACGCGGCGAGCACTCTGCTGCCGCACAGAGCACAGGAGAGCAGCTGCAGCAGCACTGGACACACCCCCTCATCCACCAGGAAGCTGACTTGGAGGAGGAAGTACAGGACGGCTGCAGGCAGAGGAGAGGGGCTCAGCTCCAAGATGATGACAACTCAACTTACATGCAAGGACTAGAGCAACTTCTCCATATGGTCAGGATGCCCTATTCCCACCAGCTCCTTCTCTAAGTTCTCTCTGCTGAGTGCTGCCAAGAAGAATTTACATCCTGAGGAAATACTGACAAGTATTGTAACACTATGTAGAGAATGGCTCCCCGCCCCACTTCTTTGAATAAGGTGATTGTGTAGACTCCAGACACTCCTCTGTAGCTTTACTATCAGTCTAGAGGTCAGAGAGGAAATACTGACAACTATGTAGAGAATGGCTCCCAGCCCCACTTTGAATAAGATGATTGTGTAGACTCCATACACTCCTCTGTAGCTTTACTATCAGTCTAGAGGTCAGATACTCCTACTCGGTGCCCTTGTAGCACCCCAAATCTTATCTATTGACCCTTACCACTCTTTTAAGTTTTTACTTGTCTTCTTTGCTAGGCAAGAGTTCTGTCTACACTGTCATGCACCACAGAACGATTTGGTCAAGAATGGACTGCATATATGACGGTGATATACCACAGAGCCTAGGTGTGTATAGGCGACACCATCTAGATTTGTAAGTACATTCTATGATGTTCGCACAATGAATTGGCCTAATGACACATTTCCCAGAATGCCCAATGTTAAGTGGCGCATGACTACCTATCTTGGTCATGGCTTTATGTATCTAGCATCCAGTTTAGTCCTTGGCATATAGTAGCCTCAGTAATAGTTCCTGAAGGAATGAATGAATAATGCAATCAAAAGGAGCAGCACTGCTTACAGTCGTCTTTGATGCAGAATTTCTGCCAGTTGATGGTTCGCTGGGCAGCAATCTCTGCACAGGCTTTCAGGTGCTCCATCTGAAATGGAAACCAATCACCAAAAATGAGTAACCCCGCCAAGCAGCCCACCCGGTACCACACCTGCTGCCTTGAGGGGTCATTCATCTGGTTTTGGATGCAAACAGAACACAGCCCTCTGTGCAAAGTTAATCTGGTGCGCTGATGAACCTGGGACCAAGGCCCACACACAAGGCTCTTGCCACGCCTCCTAAGTTCAACTCCCCACCACACAACGGCCCTTTGTTTCCAGGCACCCTTCAGACTGCTTAATAATGCAGCAGGAGAGATGGTTTTCCATGACTTGGAAAACCACAAGTTTACTTTTTTTCTTACTAAAAGCACAACAGTAAGGACATTAGATTAGGAGTCTTTCATACTGAAGTTGTTCCTTCTAGATGCTCCTAAGCAAAATATTCAATTTACTCCCCAAAGTCCTAACAATTTATCTTCAGGCAGTAAGACATCATTTCTTTAGCATTCAAGGACACAAATCAGAAATGTACAAATTTCAGGTTGATCCTGTCCATGACATGAATAAATAACAGAGGTAAAAAATCCAAGTCACCCCTCCTCATAAGAGATGAACCACAGCCAGGTAGGGGAGGGAATGTAAGGGGGAAATCTCAGACCCTGAAGCCAACTACACATGGTGGCGTAGCACCCAGTCAGGTATTACAGATTTTCCCTGATCCCAACCCTGACCAGGATGGTCTCTAAATATCTAAAAGCCCCATCTACAACTCCACCTGGTTACTTACTCAGCTGAGCTTCATCACATACCCTCCCCACCCATCCACTTCCACCTCCTCTTACCAGGCTGATGAGTGTGTCGTACTGCAAGGCGGAGCCTGAGCTGGCTGTCACCACACTTGCCCGGAGGAATATCCCCTGTTCCTCTAGCAGCTTCTTGATCCCACGCACGTGGGAGTCCAAGGTGTGCAAATCCCGGAGTTGGCGGTACTTGTCCTTTGATCCACAGATGAAGAGCAGAAGTTTGCGGACTTGCCGGCGCACAAATGGCGTTTGCTGGATCATCAGGTACTTGAGGGGGGAAAAACAACACAGTCAATGATTCTGGAACTATACATCTGTTCCAGCCTCAGCTCCCTGGCTTTCCATAAGCTGTTATTGAAGACTGGTGATAGCCCTGGCCAGTTTGACCCAGTGGATAGAGTGTCAGCCCCTCGGACTCAGGTTTGATTCCAGTCAAGGGCACATTCCTCGGTTGCAGGTGCATGCAATCAATCAATGTGTCTCTCTCACATCGACGTTTCTCTCTGTCTCTCCCCTTTCATTCTCTCTAAAAATCAATGAAAGAATGTCCTCAGGTGAGGATTAACAAAAAAATAAATAAAATATAGCAGTTCTTTTAAAAAAAGGTAAAAATAAAAACTGGTAAGGGCCCTGGCTGGTGTGACCCAATGGATAGAGCATCGACCCACGCACCGAAGGGTCTCAGGTTCAATTCCCTATCAAGGGCATGTACCTGGGTTGCTGGTTCTCCTGCACATGTGGGAAGCAACTAATCAATGTTTCTCTCTTTCTCTTACCCTTCCATTGTCTCTAAAAATCAATGGGAAAAATATCCTCCAGTGAGAATTAACAAAACAAAAACAAAACAACTGGTGAGAAACACAAACCAAACTATTTTCTTGTGGCCAAGCTAGCCTCTGGTGAACTTTAGAATTCCTTACAGGGGCCAGGAGACAGGCATAGAAAGAAAGAAGTCAAAGAGGGAACTACAGCAATATTACTGCTCCCCTTCTCAGAATACTTAAGAATCTATAGGGAAGCTGGCCTCCACTCTGGCCCATCGAGTGAAAATACAAGGGAAAAAAACATTCCGAATCTCTCAGGTGAAAGAGATGGGGAAAGAGGTGAGGTTGTTACATATATACACCTTGAAATGGTCATTTGGAGATTGCTAACAGATTATTCATCCTAGAGTTAATCTCACAATTGCTGTGGTTAATAACTATGGTCTCTCAGCTGGCTCCAAACTCACCCCATAATACCCTGCTGCTCTGCGATGTCCAGTCCAGAATTATGCTAACTGCATTGTTTCTTTGCAACTGGCTCCCTCTTAGGTTCTGCCAATAGGGAGCACTAGAGGGACACTGGAAAGCAGGAGGAAAAGAAGGGACTTGCTTCTTCCTGTTTGCCTGCTATCCTAGCATCAGCCCCTCACCCTGGCGGCCTCCGTTATTTCTTTAGTATTCAAGGGCAAACCAAATGTTAATCACCAGCTTCTCTCAGTACTTCCAGAATCAACCACAACACTCCCCCTCTCCTCAGAGCTCCTAAGGTACCAGCAGCTGCACCCTCCTGAGATACACTGGCCCTCCCTCTTCACACACAAGGCTGCTGGTAGCTCTGCTTGCAGTTACTATCTCTGTGTATCTCAGCATTCCCTTTCAATCTTTTTGCTATTTCAATGGCCATTTAACCAGTTCCCTATATTAAAATCTCTGTTAATTTAACTAGTATACGTTGTTTTCCAGACAGAGTCCGAAGTATTAAACTTGCCCATTATCATTGTGTGGGGGAAGTTAAATGAACAGATCAGAAACTAAAATGGATAGCTTGCTTTGATGTACATCTCCCAGTTTCACCATATACAGGATAAGGCACAAGTACATTTACAGTAGTGTGTATGGAAAATAACACAATAATGAATAAATAATAATACAAGAAAAACTGTTTTGCATACAACTGTAAACGTGCCTTTGCCCCACCCTGTAGTCTACAGCACAGGGGTGAGACCTAGGGGAAACACTATGAGGGTTAGGGGTCCACAAAGGCAGTCACAGCCGATGTGTCCTCTCCTCCATTGGCACCGCCCCCTTCACTTACCTCTGAGAGAAAGTAAAACCAGGAATGATCAAAGACAGGAGGTGGGATTCGAGAACTGGTGTCTGCGATCTTTTTTATTTGGTATGGAAGCCTCAGTACCATCTCTGTTAGAAGCTGAGTATAGGCCTCAAACACATCAGCAGCATGACCCTGGGAGAAGAACATTTGTGTAAGAACCTGTGATTGGCAATTTCCATGACCACACTTAAGAAAAAGGCTGGTTTACTGCTCACTAGGCATACCTTAAGCTAGAGCTGGTCAATGGCTCCTTTTGAAGCCAGAGCCATCACTGGCTGACAGTTTCGCTTACAAACCAAGCAAGACCCCAGGCTCCTGGGCAATTTCATTACATGTAAAGGTTGCAGTGGAGATAGATCTCACTGCTCTTTTTTAAAAGTTCACTCTGGTTTTTAACACTGGATTGATTGTATTCAACTTACACAAAACCTAGAATTAGAAAATACTGAAAAAGCAGTAGCAGGAAAAGATTTGACTTTCTATGTGAGATATATTTCATTCCCTAGAACTAAAACTTCCATAATAACAAGAAATATTCAAATAAGCCAAGGGGGCCAGGATCACTAAACTCAGGCGAAATTCTGGGTTCACATCACACGGACAGGCAGGGGTACAGGGAAATTTGAGGACAGTGGAAACAACAGCTATCCTGCAAGATGTGTGGTTCCCAGGAAGAGCCTGCATGTGTCTCCTATTCAATCACCAGTTATTTACCGGTTCTACGCCAAGCACTGGGAGTATAAAAAGGAGTAAGTAAGATCTTTGCTGTGAGTTTGAAGGGGAGACTCCACATGCGTGACCAGGTAAACACTGTCTCAATCAGACTTGACAGCAGGGAAGTGTGTCTTAGGGAAGGTTTTCCCTAGGATCCAATGCTGGAACTGGGTCTTGAAGAAGAAATAGGAATTCGAGAAATGAGGGAACACGGGGATGCAAAGGAAGAAGAATTTCTGAAGTGACAGCATGAACAAAGGCAACATGGAAAAATGCACACTTCAGTAGGGCTGCATGCAGGGGTGTTCCACGTGGGAAAATGCACACTTCAGTAGGGCTGCATGCAGGGGTGTTGTAGGTACGAAAGCTAGGGAGTAAGATAGCTGGATCCTCAAAGAACTTTCTGGCCGAAAAGTAATAAAAAAACCACCTAAGAGTTATTAAAAAGAGAAGGACATGATCAGATTCCTATTTTATGCTTGTTATACTCCTATATATTCAAAGCAGTTCTGAGTATGCAGTAAGCAGCACAGCTAGTCCAACCCATTTAGCTCTACCATATGGACTCAGCGGAATAGAAATGGTAATAATGAGCATTTATTGAGCATCGGTATGTGGGAGGCACTGCACTTTACAAACACCACCTCATTCAATGCTCACGACAACCCTATAAAGCAGACACTGTGTACCCTCCTTTTCCAGGTATACAAGGCTTACTAAGTAAGGTTAGACAGAACTTTTCCAAGCCTCTTGGCTAGTAAGTGAGAACAACTGTTCCCAGGCTCACCTGATCAGAAGCCCATCTTCTAAACTAGCATGTTAAAAGACCTCTAATGACAGCATGTGACACACATGAGAACATAACCCACTACTGACAACACGACCTTGTACCGTCTCATCTTTTTCTAAGGAGCTTAATGTGAAAGAGCCATGACTGTCTGATTTCATTCAATTCCTAAGGTTTACAAAGTGGCAGGACTCAGGATCCCAATAGAAGGGCATTTATTAAATCACACCAAGTGATGCAGGGAGCCCACCAAGGAATGCAGGCTCCCTCCTGCAGCTCCTCGCCCCCTGCTCCTTCACTCTCCTCACTGAGCGTGCTCTGGATGAGGCACAGGAGCGGCTCTTTGTCCAGGGAAAGCCCTCACCTTCACATACTGGCGGAGGAAGAAAGGGCTCATGTCGGGTGGGGAGGAAGTAGTATGTGGTTTCAGCAACTGGCTCGCAGCCACGGGCTCCTCATCATTCTGTTGGCTCTTCCAATACTCCAGCAGGGATTTGAGCACGTGCAGGCAGTAGTCCACAGCCCCAGAGCTCAGCAGGGCTGCCGCGGTGGCACTGGAGATGAGGGAGGATGACTGGGAGGGAGAAGGTAAGAATGGCTTATAAATGCAGCTGGGTGCTGGGGAGAGGAAACACACTCACAGTAGAGCTAGTTGTCAAGGAAGTGAGGTAGTTGATCTCTTGAGTTGAAAGTTTCCCACTAGTTCAAAATTTCCCCAATTCCTTTGAATAACGGCATGGTAAGAGAAAAGAAACAAATAAACACCAGTTCTCAACTCTAATCTCTCTACACACACATGCCAGAAGCCAAGAGGCAAGGACTAGATAACTTTTCTACCTGGAAGGCATGGTTTTCTCTTTTTCTTTGGGCAACTAGAAAAAAAGACCATTTCAAGGAGAGAAAACTTTTCATTATAGGCACTTTTGGGCAACTCCACCCTCCCAATAGGGGCTCTTCTCATAGTACCAGCTTCCAAAGGAGATGGGGTAAGCGATCACATGAATAAAAAAGTAGGAGAAAAGCTACTGTAAATAAAACCATTAGGAGAGCCTTGCAAATCCCAGCAAACCCCACAGCTCATAAGCTCATTAAGATCGGATGCAGTTCAGCCTCCATTTCTACCTTCTCTGCTTTGTGTTAATCTCCTTTCCACCGCGCACACACTGCTTTCTCTCTGCTTTATTACCATACCTTATAGCAACATACAGTGGGGAATCCTCTTAGCCACTCCGCGCCTTGCAGAACAGTCCCCTGCCTTTTAATAATGAAATTTCCAAACCCTTTAACCCCTCCAATGGAGGGATTGTTGCAAAGAGCAGGACTTGGAAGGGATTCTGAAAAAGGTGGAGGCTCTGTTCTTGAAGAGGTGACAGCTTAGAATCTAACTCCTCTCAAGCAACCACAATGGCCTTATTCTGACTATCAGGACTATCACCTTTGCCCTCAGCCCTAGTATCAACCAGACAATCCTCTTACCTTTCCCCACACCCATAAGCTTGAAGCAAAAATACCTCACATATGGAAGACTTGGATCCAGATTTGGTCCGGGACATGAAGACGCTCAGGAGTCTCATTACTACCAGATGGACTTCATTCAGGGCACTGCGCTCATTCTTCTTGGAGACATCCTGCAGCAGAAACAGAGCCCAGAGCTCAGGCTTACGTTTAAGCTTGAGGCATCCTCTGAACAAGATTCCCTCAAGCCTATCAGTGCTAAATATGCCTCAGATGGAATCGGAGACAAAGCAAGCTCATGTATCCATGGACTACGCCTGAATTACCAAAAGCCTGATACACTTAGGAAGGCATATGAAGACTGAAACAACTAATTCACTGTTTTCACCTTATAGAACCATAGGGGTAGGGACTTGGTCTTATTCCTTAATTATGCTCAAATCCAAAAGTATGCCTGGGCCAAAGTAGGCAATGAAAACATTTTTTGTGGAATCCACAGAACTAAAGGCCTTAATGGATGGTCAGCCCCTGAAAACAGGGGACATTCTCTAAGAGAAGAAAAAACAACAGAGAACTGATCTTAGCTGAGCCCTATTTTTCACACACTATGACTCAAATTTTACCTTTTTATCCATGCTCAGTTCAGCAATAAGTTGGGAGAGCAGGTTGTCCAGGGCCCCCTTGTCTTTTTCGTCTTCTCCATCCAGGTCTGCAGTGAGCATCAAAATGACCTAGAAGTCAAAGAGAGAAAACGTGAAAGTCACTTCCCTAGAAAACAACTCGAACACAAGGTGTTTCAGAAGAAACCCCAATCTTCCTGACTTCCCTGTCAATCATAATCTGTGAAAAGTTTCTAAATCCCAAGTTATCCAAAGTTTATGCGTCCAGAGTCAGAAGAGTCAAATGTTGGTATTTGGCATCACAGAAAATGTTCTGCATAAAGTTTGTAAAACTAAATGACTAACCTATATTATGTTCAACCAAACTGGGTTGAGAGAGGGCACTGTGCTACTAAGAATTAAAGAACAATTTTGCCCAAAAGGAAGGCAGCCAGTGGGGGAATAGCTATCACAAGACCATACTCTAATGCACTAATATTAATGAACAGTCACTGCAGACTAGGAATCTCTGGAACAGACTTTTGCTCTTGGCTCTGTTAATAACTAGCTGGATGAACGTGGACATTTTAAAAAAATTATCTGACCCTTGGGCTTCTCATCTATAAAATGAAGGGCTATAAATTGAATTCCATTGTTTAACACCAATGCCTTGAGATGGCAGCATGCTTAGGATGGTCCAGCTATAATGTGATAGATCCATTGAACTGAGAGATGGATACCTGCATGTATGGGATGGCCCGGACACCTCCAACATTTCTTAACTGGGGCAAGGTTTGCAGTAGCCTCTCCAACAGCATCAGACGGACCATGTGCAGCCTAAAAGGTCAAGAAAAATATATGAAACCTGAGCTAATATACAACCACTTACTATCTGAATATAGTTCTTTCCTCTTGTTCCCAAGGTAAACAGGGCACCTACTGCTCAGGAACAATCCTAGCATTAATAAATGCCTATTTATTAACCAGCAACATAGGAGAAATCTCACTTTGTTAAAAGGGAGCAAAACTATTGCAAAATACTAGTAATGGTACAGAAAACCTACATGAAAGTTAAATTATTTCTCAAGCAATCAGGTCCTAGCCACTCTCAGTATCAAAATTTAAACCTTTAGTAGTAAGCACTATGTTTTTTTCCCCAGCATATGGCCCTATTCTGCCTCTAGGCATTATTTTCCTGGCATTTTTTCACCTATAAATTCTCAACCATCCAGCTGCATAGTGACCCAACACTTTCGTTCTCATGCTTCCCCAAGTCCTTAGAAAGGCCAGTCCATCATTTTTCCTAGTGTGAAATTCAATTTCAACACCAACCTTCCCATACAGGATGCAGGAGTTTTCCCATATACTCATCTGGTCACTACCTCTCCTTCTTCATCTGCAAAGAAACAGCTAGATTTCCATACTAAGTGTGTGCCCCTGGACCTCTAATGAATACACAGATTCAAAAGGACCAATTGAAAATCAATTAATTAGGGTTTTGTTGACAATTTGGTTGGCAGCCTCGCCTAACACACAATCTTACATAAATTTAAAAGTTCATTTGCTGAATGAATTAATGGATTTGCTCTCACAGTAAATCGTGGTTCATTTTTCTTACAAATCGTTGTTTGTAAGAAACCATATGCCTATATATTTTTTTTATATATTACATATATTTTATATATTACATATCCTAGTAGGCAGTTATCCAGAATATTTTCAAAATAATAAAAGTCTGAATGGAAGTACAGTGTCTTATTTGAATAATGATTATCATTCTAAAAAGAACTCAAAGGAATGAGCTAAATGTCCTTTAGAATTCTATAACACATAAATGCCTGCATTCATGAGTAATTAGGCAAGCTATGGGGGACTACAAATGAGTAAGAACTGATCAGGAATGGAAGAGGTACAAGTGAAGAAAGCAGAGATAACAGCAGCAATTCAGCACTTTTAGGATAAAACAAGCTTTGAGATGATTAAAATCTTCATATTTGGAGAATATGCATCTGAGTGAATACACACACGAAGGAAAACGTCAACAAGCCCTGACCGGTTTGGCTCAGTGGATAGAGTGTCGGCCTGCAGACTGAAGGGTCCCGGGTTCGATTCCTGTCAAGGGCATGTACCTTGGTTGCGGGCACATTCCCAGTAGGGGCTGTGCAGGAGGCAGCTGATTGATGTTTCTCTCTCATCGATGTTTCTAACTCTCTATCCCTCTCCTCTCCCTTCCTCTCTGTAAAAAATCGATAAAATATATTAAAGAAAAAAAAAAAAAAGAAAGAAAGAAAATGTCAACAAAATGAGCAGGTCTGGACCTGGACCAAGATCATGCCAGATCATTGGCTTTTCAAGCACTTATTATTCTGGAAACTTCACCAAAAAAGTAAACACTAACAAAAATTACAATTTCCTTGTGACTTAAAAGTAAAAACAATTCAGTTATTATATTATTTAAAACAATAAGCCACCTTGTTTAATTAACTTATTCCTGGGCGGGGGGCGGGGGGGGGGGGGGTTAAATTAAAACCATTTTAGAGACCTCCATGTCCAATATGGCTAGGTTACCTCAATTGACCATCCTGCTAAAAATAACTAAAAATCCTAAAATGACATATCATTTTAGAAGCAATGATGAATTTCAAAACATTTCAAAGGATTGAAATCACATAGTATGTCCTGCAACCATAGTAAATTAAACTATAAATCAATAACAGAAAATAATTAGAAAATCCCCAAATGTTTGGAAATACCTGGGCCCAGAGAGTAAATTACAACAGAATTTAGAAAGCATTTACCTGAACAGCAATGAAAACAGAACATAGCAAAATATGTGCGCTCCAGCGAAAATAATGTTTAAAGGGAATTTTAGAGAGAAATATATAGCTTCAAATATGTATTTAAAAACAAAGATTTTAAATCAATGACTTAAGCTTCCATCTTATGAAGTTAGAAAAAAAGAACAGAAAATTATACCTCCAAAAATAAGGTTTTAAAAAAAGGAATCAGAGAAAGAAAATGATAAAGAGTGAAAATAACCTAGAAATCACATTAAGAGAAAATAAAAAGATTAAGTAGAAAGCCCCTTTATGTTAAGTTAAAAAAAGAATTCCATCAAGATATCAGCAGTTAAACTGAGCCAGGTCACCTCCATGAGAGTTGTTGCAAGGGTCTGAGTGGAATGGGAGGGACAATAAAGGAGACACTCGGATGCCCTCTGAAATGTCTCTGATGACTGACAGCTTCAGTGACCTGTTTTTCTGATAAAAATCACTCAGTTCAAAGTATTGATTCTTTACTTCTACACTAATGTGATAAATTTGTGGGCCTCGACAAATTTAACAAATACTATATCACAAGTGAATTCTTAGGTTTTTCTTCCTATTTCTCTAGTCACCTCTTGGTTAAGAACACATTCACTCCACCAATCCAGTACAAACACCACCAGAATGTCTTGAGGGAAACTGATTAGAATTTTTAGATTAGTTTCAATTTGCCAAGAGCTCAACACTGGTATTTTTTAGACATAAACATGCATTGGCTCTGTCTTACTTCTCCATTACATTATAAACATGCTGAGCAAGCAGCTATTTCTAGTGTATATTTAATAACTATCACTGTTGAGCCTATAACAATGCCATTTATAAAGAGAATGCTACAAAATTAGTTTCATCTTGTTGATGAAAAAAGAGAGATTTGAGTGAGGAAGATATACTCCTCAGCTATTTAGGAATATAGGGAAGCCTTAAGGGAAAAACTAATTTCTATGCTCTGCATTTGATTTGATAGAATTCTAATTAGGACAACAAAGACAGATCTAGAACACTTGCAAAGATTTTAAATTGCTTCATGAGTTTATTATCTGTATATTTCAAAAGAAATATACTGCTATCACCCATTCCACTTCCTGCAATGGATCCATCATCCTATTCCTAAAACATTTCCCCATAGGAAATCCTCTTGACTGAGAATGACCAGGTCCTGACCTGTTGCTGGTGTGGACATCTCCTTCTCCTTCCCCTTCTCCTTCTCCCTCGGAGCCATCTCCTTCCTGATGTCCAGTGGTGGTGCTGATGGCGCCAGTGCTTGAGCTGACACTTCCTGGTCCAGCTGGATGCCCCTCTGCTGTGGCATCACCATAAGCACTGCTCCGGCCAGATACTGGAGGGAAATGATTTGAAAGCACAAATCAACTCCCAAAGCATGATGGAATCCAATGCATTCTCAAGTCAGCAATAGTTAGAAGATAACTGGTAGCTTTGGAAAATTTTTCTTCTATGTGAAACTACATACGGGTGAAATTCACAATTTTGACCCCATAGCACTATGCTAAATGACTCCCAAGACAGTCACTCATTCTTTTACAGAATACAATATCTACCTACAAGAATGATCTTAATCTGAGCTACTGATAAATTTCCACTTCACGTTCCAGAGAATATATACTGATTTGGGAATCTAGACATTCTCAGCTACTCTTAATCTCCTCCATAAAAAAAATTTTTCACATCCACAGACTGATTTATGAGATCAAACCAAAATGGCTTTCTCATGCTTCCTCATCCTAGAGTTCCATCCTATCAGCTAGAATTCTAGGAAGATGACCTATTATATTAACACATCAGATCATTAACAATGCTGCCCAAAATATCCTCCCCAAACAGAAAGAGCAAAAACCAGAACAATGAACTTCAAGGTCATACCAAAATTGTTTTAGATGAATCATGATTTGTACCCAGCTTTTGTGGGTTGGTGGTTGAGCGTCAACCCATAAACCAGGAGGTCATAGTTCGATTCCCGGTCAGGGCACATGCCTGGATTGCAGGCTCAATCCCCAGTAGGGGACGTGCAGGAGGCAGCCGATCAGTGATTCTCTCTCATCGTTTATGCTCCTATCCCTCTCTCCCTCTCCCTTCCTCTCTCTGAAATCAATAAAAACATTTTTTTAAAAAATCATGATTTGGGATTAGGTGTGCCATTGCTTTCTTCCACTAACAGATAATTAAAAGCTGCCTATGAAATATTCCAATATTAACCTCACTGAGCTTAAGCTATTATCACTGAACATGTGAAACTCCAGGGGTGAGGTCAAATAAATTCCATAAAACCCCAAAGCTCCCCTCTGCTGAAACCAATCCCAGGACCCAGGCAGGGATTCCCATTTTGTCCCCACCCTCTGCCCAAGGAGATCAGGACCCCAGCCACATTACCACTGTGCTCGCCAGCCACCGAGTCCACTGCACTTCCCCCGCTCTCCGAGCCCACACTACCACCATGGTCAGCGGGAGAGGTCCGAAGGGTAGAACCATCAGTCGCTGCTGTGCTGCCCTCGTCATCTGAGGCTGGAGCTGAGAGAGTAACGAGAGCTGTTACAGGTAAAAACCCCTCCTTGGAGCAAAAGCATCAAACCACATAGTGCAGAAAACACAATGCAGTTTATCTGTCCTGTCGCCAAAGAAAAAAGGGAAAGGTTTGCTTTGCTGGTTAATAACTAACAGGAACAAACACTGCACACGGTGCATTGCAAACAGTACTGAGACGGAAGTGGAAACCCAGTTCACTGGGCATTTCCTTCGATGCTGCATCACAGTGCAAATAGGACAGTGCAGAGATTCAGTGAGAATCTGTGACATGAACACTCTGTTTTCTAGCTACAACGCTTCAGTCACCATTGTGTAGGTGTTACTGACTCCTCCTGAGATCTGAAGCACAGGACTCTGAATTTTAATGAGATTTGTTTTGTAATCAGTGTTCATAAGAGGAAATCACTATGTGAGCTCTTGAATCAGCCCTGCTTGTTTTTCTTTCTAATCAGGTGGTCCAGGGGGAGCTCACTGGGAAATTTCACACCTCCTAATCATCCTCATCAGGTGCTAAAATGAAGCAAGGAAATTCCCCAGAGACAGCCACAGCATCCAGGATCAGGGCTGAGCTGAGACAGGAGGAAAATGCTGGATGAGGTACATGGAGGAGGGAAGCCAAGACAGCCACAGAGCACAGTAGGAACGTGGTACAGCACGACAGCAACCTCCAAGCCTGAAATGACAGCAACTAAAAGGACCAAGGAAAGCAACAAGCCATGGCAGCAGGTGAAGAGGAGCAGCCAGTTTATCTCTTTCTTACCTACCCAGGGTAAAACCTCCAAAAAGAAAATAAAAAAGAAAGAAACAAATATAGGAAAGCATCAGTCTGAAAAACTCCAAGTCAACACTTAATCAGGGGTTGCTTTTCCAGCAGCTGTTCAGATGTCCCACCCGCTTCTATTTTGGTACAACTCTCCACTAAGGAATTTTTCTTTTCTTACACGAGAAGAGTTTGAAAGTGAAGACAAAATTAGGTCTGAAGATTTCCTATGCATTTGAATTGTGCACAAAATCCCTACCTCCCGAGCACGCAGATCCCTGATAGCTAGCTACTCTAACCCGCAGCTAACTCGGCTTCTTGCAGCTTCACTTTTATTTCCAAATGAAGAGAAAAAGTTAAAAGGTATAATCTCTATTTCTTGTCTTTCTTTTAATGTTGTCTAAAATGTCAGAACGCTGATGAAGAACCCTGAAAGCTGTCGATTAAGCCCTAAAGCTGATCAACCTGCAAGCTGGTCTCTTGGTCTCTCCTCGGGAATGAGCTGAATGAAGCCAGGCAGCATGCAAAGCCAGGAAGCGAAGCCATGAGCGCCCTTGCGGAACTGCATCGGTATGCCTTCCCCACTCCTATTTCCAAAGCCAAGGCAGAAGCGGGAAGTCCAGAATGGCCTGTCAAAGCAGCTGCCCCTTACACTCTCACAGCAATGGAAACGAGGCCTGAGGGTCCTGGGGCCCTGAGCCGTGCTCCTTGCTGTGGACAGTTACCTGATGCTGTGGTGTCAGAGAGGGTTCCTGCGTCCAGAGAGGAAGAGCTGGGTGCCTGGCCGGACAGCCCCAGGCTCTGCAGGCCCAGGGCACTGCTGCTGCTGCCTGGGAAACAAGTGGAGAGTGAGCACAACATCCCCCCCAAACCCCATCCACAACGCTCCTTTGGCCACCTGCTGCCCTCGGGAGTCTAAACTCTCCAGCGTTAGACCCCTCTGGCCTAGAGGAGGTTAATCAAGAGCTATAGCTACCCAACCACCACGTTTCGTTACAGAGATGGTGGAAGACTTTCTTTAGCTCAGGTAGGGAGGGCACAGGCTGGAGGAATCTAACAGATTTGGGAGGGACAATCCAACTAACAGAAACTATGAGATTGGCTCCCAGACTGAAAACGTTACCACAATCCCTCTCACTCTCCACCTGTATCTCCAAACAGCTCTCACCCAGATCAACCTCTCCCCAAATCTGGGGACAAACTAAGTCAGTTGCACATCAGTAACTGCCAAACCCTCTTTCCTGTGCAAGGCAATTAGGCTGCTGTGCTCCTGGCATTGCCTCTACCTTGTTGGTCCTGCTGCAGGCTCAGGGCAATGGCCAGCTCAACCATGGTCTCATCATCTGCATCAGGCGGGATGTCCAGCATGGGCGGGAAGCCCTCTGCTCCTGCCAGCAGGGCCTCCAGGGGAGAGGGGTTGCCATTGTTGACATTTTCAGCTGTCTCCAACACCATGGACTCAGACTGCAAAGAGAAAGCTATGTCAGTATCCCACGGTAAATGGCAGCTTTTGGAAGTCCACTGAATAAGAGCTAGAGAGTTAGAGGCCCCCTTCCCCTCTCCGGCCCGACTCACCACCATCTCAAAATCTCCATGGTCCACCTCACTCTGTTCCTGGCTTTCCTGACGAATGTGACCACCATTCGGGATCCCTGATGACTGCATTTTCTCATCTGCATCATCATCGTCATCATCATCCTTGTCTCCTGAGTCGAAGAAATCCCAGTCACCTGAAGGTACTCCACCCTCAGCATGTGGCATGAGGACTCACAGAGCAAACAAAAACCCAGACAAGCTACCAGCTGGCACCTGTGCCTTAGAGGTAAACTCCAGCCTGTTCTAATGTTTCCTGGACCTGGCAGGGTCTGGGAAGATGGGACTGGCAGTGACAGCTTGCCCCACCTTAGGAAAAGACTTTTTCCAGCTGATGAAGGGGGAGCGGAAATTTCCATAAAGCAGAGAAATCTAAGACCAGCTCCCACCAACTCTCAGGAGGCCTTGGGCAAGACAGAGAAAGTAAATAATATAATAATGTCTGTTATCTGTCATGGCAGCTTAGAGTGTTATTTTATTATTTTTTTCCAAAACAACTGGGTCGGTGAGATTTTCACCCTACACAATCATTATGAGAACGAGGATTGAAAAAATGTGAAATCATCAAATGGAGGCTGAGGACACCACTACAGGTCCTGCCCAGCCAGCTCCTGGTGGAGGGGAGAGGCCTTCTAATAAGTTAGACCCCTTGCCTCCCACTCGATGGCTGGGAAAGCATGTGAATGTGGCCTTAATTGGAAACGTACACTTTCTGCACTTTAGCTTCTCACCAAAGATGCACACAAACTGTTGTCTAGCTTATCCAAAGTTTAGAAAACACAAATGATAGTCAAGGAAGGTGGAGGGTCACCAAGTCACAAGCATTCCTCCAGACCTGCACTGTACCACAGAGAGCCACCAGCCACTGAGCATTTAGAATGTGACTGGTCCGAAAGGAGATGTGACATTAGTATTTACTACACACTAGATTAAGACTGCACAAAAAATACTTTTTAAGGACACAAAATATTTCACTAATAATTTATATTGACTACATGTTGAAATATTTCTATATATTAGACTAATTAGTAAATTAATTTCAACATACTTCTTTTTACTCTTTATAATTTGGCATACAGAAATTTACAATTATGTATGTGCCTTTCATTGGTAATTTACTTCTGGGGGAAACAAGTAACTAGCATGTTACATAATATAATGTTAATGTTAAGATACTCTGAGAAATGCTTTACTAAAATGTTAAATGGCATGCCCTCGACTTGTGTCCCAGTGTATCACTTGTGAAATCTGCTGTCAAACACTGCAGGCAAAACGAGAGGATACTACCCCCTGGGCAATAAAATGGATCCTTACTTAATGTACTGTTTTTATGCCAGGAAGTCTCCTTTTCCTGAAAAATAGCGGGGGTTTTTTCTTTAGTCACTGTAATTTTATAACTCTTCTTTTGTTATTTTTGCTGTGGCTTGTGGGAAGCTTTCAGCCAAATATAAGACCTTTACTTAACAACCATACAGGACTCATGCTGTCGGGGGTTTTTTTTGTATCCTTGGCTTGACTTTACTATTGTATCTTTATTTTCCCATGGCTTTGATTTTCTTTATTTTTATTCTACTTATTATATGCACTTTTATATGTCATCTTAAATTCTTTATGGAGTAAGGTAGGGTAACAACAAAAGACACATAAACAAAAGTCTCCAAGACCTTGGTCAACATGGGCAGCACGTCCTCCCTCCTCCCCCTTCCCACCACCCTGCGAGCCTAAACCCAGACCTCGCATTACCCATTGGAGTGTTGCTTCGAGGGGAGGAGGGCAACGTCACATGTCTCCGCTTGTTCCTGGGCCTTAGGACTCGAATTAGAGCTTGTTTACAAGAGAAGCTCACGGCAGGATCCTGAGGTTGAAAGGAAACTGTCATGCTTAGATTTTAAATCATTCATGAGACTGCCTACAAAACACTTTCCTCTCGTGGTCAATCACTTACACGCATGTGGAAGACCTACCGACTCAGTGGTAACCCTTCTGAGCAAGTTCAGCAGCTAACCCATTTCTGACCTGGCTATGTCAGACCCATTCACTACATTCTTGTATCCGTTCTGGTAACGGACTGGCAGGTCGTTTGCTCCTGAAGTCACTCTGGCTCTCTACAAATGGGTTTTGACTTTTCACCAGATGATCAGGCTCATCTTAGCTCTGTGCTCAAATCAGTACTTCAAACACTTAGCTTCTGTGACAGTCACTGAAGATAGAGCTTGATGATGGTCTCTCATGTACTCATTTTAATACTTAACACTAACCAAGCAGCAATAACCAGGATATTCCTAGGAAGCCAACACTGAATAAGACAAAGTCCATCACCTCTTCAACCATTTTTTCCATGGAATGAGTAAACTCTTAAAGCTTTTATTGATATTCAGAGCTCCATTTCCCATTATCTCCTTTAAGCCTGTTTTTATTTCATTAACTAGCAAACATACAAAAAGTGATTTTTCCAGACATTCCCAGGCTATGTGGGGTTTTAGTGATACGTACAGGACACAGTAGCATCTGCATGTAGATCTTGGATGCTGTATTAATACAGTCCAGCTCACACGTACAGTAGCCATGGATAATGTCTACCAGAGCATTGACGGTAGCTTCAATATGAGTTAGGCCTAAAGGGGATAAAAATATAACGAAAAAATTTCTAACTACCTGAAAGTCTAAGACAAAAGGAGAAATTCTTATCCCCACATAAAGGTCAAGATAACAACAAAATAATTAGCACAAAAAGAGCAAAATAAACAAAATACACACACAGAAATGTAGGCTGTCAGCATTATTTGATTTGTTTTATTAATACTCTCCTAATCTCTCAAACTGTCCTCAAAAACCTCACAAGATATCTTGCGTCACAGAAATAAGTAATTGTCTACACTTTTGGATATCAAAATAGGGCAGAGAAGTGTGAAAAGATGAGCCGATTCTAAATGTTCCCCACTAACCCCAGATCTTAGGTAATAAGCATGACATTGACATGCCTTTTAGGTTTATTGCCCAAGAAAACTCCAAACATAAACGAACATTAGGGGCTGTTCTACTTTTCTAGATTGCTGGTCAGATCCTGACTATCCACCTACACCCAGGATAGTGTGAGAAGTTAGATACCAAAGGCAACGACAGCTCAGAAATAACATAATTCTCAAGGTTGATACTTAACTTTTACACTCTGAACTGGCTTTGAATCAAGCTCTCAAAGATTTTTTAAACAATTATAAACATGACTAAGGACACACACACCCCTCCATGTGAAAAATTGACCCCGACATGAAGAGATAAAAGAAAACTCCACTTCCTTCCCCCTCCACTGAACTTCTGTTTTAGGAACAGTGTAATGATCTCAGACTTCTACTTCCTAACCATTAGTTCTGAATAAATGGATGACTAAAGGCTAGGGGTTCATTCTGTTCAAAGACAAAACTTACAAGACACAAGTTTCCCTTTCAACATGATACCTGGCAGGCAGGCAGGTGCCAAGAAGGCATTCTTGGGTTTGGATGCATGGAGCTTCCAGAAGTGGTTCACCAGCTGGGTGATGAAACTACAGCAATCTCCTTCCAACTGCTTCTGAGGCTCTCTCCCCTCCTCCACTCCTTCTAAGCAGGAGAAAGAAAATTATTAACGACTGTAAATCGGAGATGGAATTTAATTTGTTTTAAGGTTAACTCAGGTCAAGGAAGCTTGCCTGGGGAGGGAGTTTCAAGTGGGGCCCCAATCAATATGCCAACTATCCCTAGATTCCAGCAGGCACATCTAGGAAAAAAACAGTCTGGGAAAGGAATATCACAGAAACACTGTATGTTAGAATTAAGAAGAAGGGGAGCATTCAAGATCTTTACAGCAGATTCAGAGACCTCAGGTCCAACTGTTAAACTTATCAAAACTGGAGGACTGTCTGAGATTTTCTAGAATGATTCCTAGACTATAATATTTGAAGGAGGAACAACATGACGACAGCATATGGGTGCATGAAAATAACAGAGAATTGTAAAGGCATCAACAAACTATATTTGATAAAGACAAATCAAGTTTGGTATCCAGACAAAATGAGAGAGGAGGAAACAGAATAGAGCACTAAGAAAGTCCATTACACGTATTAATAAAATACTGGCAAAAGAACAGCATAAACGTAAAAGATATGACCCTGTTACTTTAAAGCAACCAGGCCCAAGCTTAACTTTACCCTCAAGATCATAAGAGGTAGTGACAGATTATATCAATGCCCAGAGCAGTGAATAAACCCAAGGATAATACAAGAAGTAAGCACTGGAAAGAGTACTATTTACTTAAAAATGGTACAATCTTAATGTCACAAACCCTCCATAAGGTATAAAGACAAGAGAGCAAAATCCCTGGTTCGGAGCATGAAGTCAGTCAGAGGCCAGTGAGAACAATACAAGGGTGAAAGGGTGCAGAAGGTGTATGAAGCAGATTTCAGGACCACGTCCATCCAGGCTAAGTTCACCTGTTTCCATCTGGGGCAGCTTTGACTCCGTAAAGTGGACAAGGTTGTTAGGGCGCATGATGGCAATGGAGCGAGCTGTGATCACCAGCCTCTGGAAGACCTCAGGGTCCAAGTCCTTGCCTTCTTTGCTGGATGTGTTGAGACACTGCACGGCTTTGCTCAGCAAGGCCTGATCCTATAATGGAAGGATCACAGAGGATAAACCACAAGCAAGGGCTGGTACGATGGCAAAGAGCAGAGGAGAGCTGGCAGATGGTCAGGATGGCTACCTCCTCTCAAGAGAACAGGTTAATTACCACCAGTTAACAGTAAAAAATCTTCAAAGTTAAACTTCTTAATACATAAAATATTAAAGGTACTAAAAAAGGAAATCAAAAGTCACAAAATCATTACCAAAGTATGATGGGGAAGAAAATTAGAAACCACCCAATTCTCCAGAACTGCAACATCCCAGATCTCTTTCCCACAGTAAAAGGTCATTCTTTTGCAAGTTCATACCATCCAAAGATTGTTTCCAAAACTGCCTTCGCTTGAGCGGTGCAGCAGGATAAACTCACATTTCTCAGTTCTCTGGGTTGGAGGCATAAAAACTAACCAAGGCATCTGGGCTGCTGGCTTTTCCATCTGTGGAAACTGGCCCAACTTACTGCCTTCGGCCCCACTTACTTTTACAGGTGAGACCCTCTCTCCCCAGGATCCCCCTCAGTCTCTCTCCAACAACCATTCAACAATTTCCTCACAAGCAAGTACACTGATAGGCTGGTACCACAACTGGCGGAGGGAAACACCAACAGCCCTGATCTCCCAAATGAGTCCCCCTCTTCACTCTCTTCCAGCCAGAGACTCACATCCAATGTCCCTCTTTCTTAACTCTTGCTGATCCTATTAGAGTGACAGAAAAATTAATGCAAACCAGTAGCCCACTGCCGGCTTGTCCTCAGTTTCCAGGAATATCCATTAATTTCTCAGGAGACATTTTTAGACTGTGTGGGTCTGATCTCAATGCTATCCCTCCCCACCGTACTTCACTATGCCCTTACTTTACATACGAAAGCCAACATACTTGATTCCCTGTCAGTAGCCCCAACTTCCACCTCCACGGAAGGCATCCCAAGAGGGAACGATTACCTTGTGGCTGTGATAGGCCGAGCGGCTGGTGTGCAGGCTGGCCAGAAGGCTCTTGGACTGCTGCTGGACACTGGCAGGTGCTGGCAGGGACAGCAGCAACGTGGCCAGCTCCTGAGCTGCGTTCTTGTTTCTCTCCTGATGCGAAAGACAGGAGGGGTACCACTAAGCCTACCGCGTCCATGTGGAATGCACTGTCTACACCCTGCCCTTCTCTTTCCTCCCTTCCAGACCCCCAGGGCAAGGTGAGCTCCATGGACTGCAAAAAGCCAAACAAGGAATTTCAGAAATTATAATCCTCTCACAATACAGGTGTAGAAATAGAGTCCAAGCTCGTAACTCCAGAAGTGTTCTTTTACCAGCACTCACCCTGTTCTATGAAACACTGCTACAAAGGGTCCCCCAAAGTAGGACAGAAGGCCTTAAGTGGAAGACTTCTCTAGCACTTCTCGGCAAATCATGATTAAGCTATAAATGTCCCTTAGCTGGGAGGCCCCGGGGCTTCTGACAATTCCACTGACTTCCTGCCCCTCCAGAAAGCTCCCATGAACTTTGAAAAAGTAACTTGCCTTTTCGATGATTGGGCCAACAGCAAAGCAGCTTTCCAGAGCTTCTAAAGAACTCACAACCAGCCTAGGGAGACAGAAAAGCTGGCTTGAGTACAACAACCCTTCTCTCTGCCCTGTGCTTTAGCCTGCGCAAACTCTAGTCATGAGGACCCTGGGGACAGCTAATGAATGCCAAATACGAAATCAAAGCATAAGACCTGCCACAGGCACCAACCATGCATATCCTTTCCTCGTGTTACAGGCCAGAAGAAACCTGGCTCCTGCTTGGAGATCAACCTGAGGCCATGTTCATAATCCGTAACTCAAAGACAGGGCTTTTCTTCCTTAAAGAGGATAAATGTGCTTCCTTCTGCTGCCTGTGGCAGGGATCACTGAGATGGGCTTAACAGTCTGATGCAATGGGACCCGAAGCTCAGATGCCCACAGTTCACAGGCAGAGGGATACATACACAAGGGGAAAGGTTAAAGCCATGTTCTTATTCGGGGAAGGTGAGTTTATATTTTACTTACACCTCCTAGAAAATACACAAAGGCACTTCCTATGTGTCCCTAAGTATGGGGAAGAGAGCAAACTGTACTTTCAGGAGCATGCCAATTGCCAACATTTAAAGGATACTACAAAGCACCTTTAGAAACCTGAGCAATTTTCTTGTAGGAAATAACAGGAAACCCAACTGTAACATGCTGCCCAGGGCCGACTCCTGTGAGTTTAATGTGGCATAGTAAAAAGACCAATACTCGGAGGACCGATGCTCTGGAGAGAGGGAAAGGATTGAGAAGGCAGTTGGAAAGAAAGGTCAAGGGGTAGAGGAAGACAAAGAGCCAGGGAAGAGGGACCAGGGGCATAAAACCCAGTTGGACGGAATAGCTCTCCAGTGGCTTTTCAGGTGGTAGGGCTTCTTGATTGTCCCACTGCCCCTGGCCGCCCTTCTCATCTACTGTAGAGAGGGCACAGGGAGGAATGGGGTAAGGAAAAGAGAAAGCCAACAAAGTCTGAAGCAGCCAACACCAAGTGCGCACGTACAACCCTCCGCATTCTCCACTTTTAGGCAGACAGCTCTGCAGCCATGCAACGACCAGAACAGAGAGGAGCAGGAGGACTCTTCCACAGAAGCAGATTCAACGCAAAGCCACACCATTGGGTTACACTGCTCTCTGACACACACTCACTCGTGCAGAGAAAAGAAAGAGGGCATACTAACCGGTCCAGCTTGGTTAGGGACTCAGTTTCAGAACTTGGGGAAGAAGCAAAGAAAAAAAAAAGGAAAAAAACATGAAGCTCAGAGAAACCTGGAAACACATCCTAAGCAAACAATATAAGAATAGGGTAGGGGAAGAGAAAAAGAGAGAGAAGGGAGAGGGGGAGGCTGCTGGTGGGAGGCAGTGATTCAAGCCAGGCTATTCTTATGACTTACAATGTAAGAATCTCAACATCTTACATCACGAGTTACTTCATCTGCCATGGCAAACCAGTAGCTACCTAGCGCAAAGAAGCCAAGCGCAGTACTTAAGGAGGCCTCTGGAGGGAGCCCAGGAGGCTCTGAACTCTGCCACAGACGCAGCAGCCAGCCTCTTACAGCAGTTATCACCACATAAGTTGCTGCTGCAGAGAAAGATGAGAAAATGATGAAATCGGAACGAAAGGGAAGATTTTCCCCATAATTTCCAAAAGACTGGATCCTAATCTACAACACTCGTGTAAGCATCTTAGTCAGTAGCCTCTGGCTATACCAAAGGATACCTGAGCATTAAGAGAAGGCACAGAAAGCTCTCAGCACACTTTCAGGCTTTGTCTGCACACTAAGAAGACAGCGAGTATTGGGAGTTGTGTGAACACTTGAAAATCACGGGCTCAATCTGAGGCAGTTAACAGGGACTGACTCTCTCAAGACACAGGTTCTGCAGGGAGAGTGAGAAACGGTGACACTGAAGCCAGCCCCTTCAGTGCTGGTACCTCTCCAGGACAGTTCCACTGGTTGTGGTGGGGGCAGCTGAGTCGCTCTCTCCAGTGCCATTGCTCTGGTTCAGGTTTGAAGGACAGATGTTGCTGACAGAGGCAGAAGGGAATTCTTCCGGGGGCTCATCTGGCCAGCCAAACTGCTCCTTAGTCTTGCCATAAATTTTTACAGCATCGATCATGGTGACACCTGCTGGATCCACCGAGGCCCCAACTGTAATAAGCAAGAGAAGCTATTAAGAAGTACATTCTCTGAAGGGCTAACACCACCATCTTCAAAGCAAAGACCAGAATAAGTTTGAGCAAAGTAGCAAATCACATGCATTTTTAGTCATAGAACTTGATCTCCTGCAACTTCAGCAGCACCTTAGTCTGTACAGATATTTAATACATGAAGAAACAGCCCCACAATCAAAGCCTATGAGGTCTACTATTTGGAAGAAGAGTCGCTGACCATCACTGTAGGAACCAGACCCTCTGCGCTATCAGGGCACTGTATCGCCAACTCCCTCGCGCAGAGAACTCTGAGAACTCCCTTTGTTCAAAGCACAGATCCTCATCATTCACACAAACAGCATCAGACAGGTGGCCAGTAAACACTATAGAAAGATGCCAGCCTTATGCAAGACTCAGGATTTATATTCAGGGTTACAAGTTTTTAATAGCAGGGCAAGGCAAGGCACTGTCAAACACCTCAGTGCCGTGGACCTATGGCTGTCTCTGTGCTTTAAGGAAGCCTTGTGACCTCACGTGCTAATCTTGCCTCCTCTCTGCATAAACACGCAGGCAGCCCATCAGCAAGGCTGACCCAAGCCTATAGACGTGGAACTGAAGCAGATTTTGACTCTATCTCCATGCCTCCCATTCTCAAGTATATCCCTTTCCTGTCACCTTGCCTCCTTCATATCTCAAATGAAGCTCAGAGTTTCATGACAGTAGAGACCACAGAGGTATCAGCAGAACAGAGGGTCCCCAAATACTCAAGAGCCACAGAGAAGTGGCCCCCAAGTCAGCATCACAGTGGGAAGGATACAAACTGTGCCAGGGGCTGGTGACTCACTGAAGAGGTTCAGTTTCTTATCAGCCTGCAAGGCCTCTTCTCTGGTGAAGGGGAAGTCGAACCAGCGGGAGCGACTCAGGTTAAGCTGCATCGTTCTGCCAAAGATCTCGATATATGACGGAGCCCGTTCAATTGCCTGGGTCCCAATCTGGATCCGCATACCCGTCATCACCATTGTGCTGTTGTTGTTACTAATCTCAATGGTGAAGCCACCGGGCTGCAGGAAAGAAAGGCTCACATTAGAGAACGAATACAGTTCTTAAGGGCAGACCTGTAAACCTTCCTCTGACAGTGTCTCAATGTGTGGTCCCCACAAGACCTTCATCCTTTTAACTCTCCAGTAATAATTTCCTTCCTTCCAAAGCCAGGCAAACTGAGACAGGGAGCAGACTCTCTTCAATTTCAGGCTTCCTTCTCCCTTGCAGTTACCACCCACCTGCCCTCTGCACAGCAAACCTGTTGGTAACGTTGTACAGAAGCCCTTCTGCATGGGGTGAGAACAATATTCACCCCAGGGACCATTTAACTAGTGTCTAGGGTCAGTGGCTGTGGGTATATACTTTATATTTGCATTCTCAAGAGATGTGCTCTCCAACAACAACCCTGTTTGAATCTGAACCCAGCCTGACCCAGTCCTCACCTTGGTGTTGGCCACATACATGCCAGTGGAATTCAGCCGGTGCTTTATCTGTTGTGCATTGTAGACCTGCAGAAGGTCATTACCACCAAACTCCACATCTGTCAGCTGCTGGTTGTGTTCAAAGAAGTCAATGGGGAAGGTCACCTGGCTGGATGTGCGGGTTGCTGTGGAGAGCAGCAGATTGCCAGAGAGCACTGGTAAGGGTCGCCTCTCCCACCTCTGTGCCCACTCTACAGGTCGCACCCTCCCAGCTCAGCCCACACACACATGCTCCAAGCTTTCTAGACAAACTCTGGATTATAATGTTTGCATCAGTATGATGCCTACATGTGGTTAGCTGTACCACAGTTATTATCCCTATAACCACAATATCACCTAGCAGGACAAAGAAATCTGGCGCTGGTGTTGCATACAGTTACTAACAATAGGTCCTCTCATAGCTGGTTTGTTTAAAATAAGTAGAACTATTTCTTTACTGGAAGATGAGCTGCATCACTATCTCACAGACTGGGACAAATTTCAGGTAATGGGAGGACCCCCACAATGGTCTGTGCTTAGCCAGATTTACTCACTCCTACAGTCAAGCTTTCACTCCCTGAAGAGTCCTCCATCAGTCAGGAGCAGGATCCCAGCTCAGAGACCCAGGAGGGGCTCTTCACTACTCACTGAGAAATTAACCAGCAACTGGAGAACCTACTCCTCAGTCAGATCTTGCACTTCCCACCAGGCAAGCAATTTTCCCTGAACCCAGAGAAAAATCTCTCAAACAAGGTCCAAAGGATAATTCTTTACTGGGCACCTGAGGGTGGATGACCCTAAGTGGAGAGCCAATGGGTGCTTCCCATTAGTACAATGTGTCTCTAAAAGCCACACAGAGCACTGGTGGCCTCAGGAAACTTGAGTCCATTTTTGGAAATTAGCTAAGACATATCCCTACCTTTACAAAACATGGAAGTCAGACAGTCACCGATTCTTTATGGATATTTACAACAGTCTACTCTACTCATCATCTAGAAGACTGCCCCCGCCCCCACCCTCCTACCCTCCTACCCCCGAGTTGAGGGGCCTTACTGATGGTGGCTGTCTTGCGCTTTCGAACGGGCTTCATTATGCTGATGACACTGCTGGGCTGCAGGGATGGCTGAAGCCAATAGGAGGTGTTCTCCACGTTGGCCATGTAAATGCGCAGGCTGCCATCCTCACACAGCAAGATCATGGTTGTCCGCTGCTGCTCGTTGCAGGCCGTGTGCCTAATGGCGACCATGTCTTGGATCTAGGAGAAGGGGACAAAGGAGGGTGTTAGTTCCCGCACCTACAGATCAGAACCTCAGAGAGAGAGAGAGAGAGGCAGAGAAGCAGCTTTTCACAGTCAGTTGTGGGGTTGCAGAAGGATGGCACAGGCATCAAGGAGAAAAATGGATCCCAATTCTTATATCGGCTCCATTCAAAGAGCTGGGAAAGTAGACTATACAACATAAAACTAGAGCAGGTTCACGCAATTCAAGTGATGGGAGAATGTGGCACTGACCTTTGCTTTAGCAGGAAGAGTCTTTATTTCTTGAATAAGAAAAGTGTCTGGTTTCACCATAACTACCAGTGGCACACCTGTAGTTTGCTGGACACAACACACCAAACCAGGGTGGTTCATCACCTCAGACCACTGGCAAAGGGCAGGAGACGTTTTACTGCCACCATTGGAACTGCAGACAACAAAAGTGGCCAAGGTCAGGTGTCAATCACCATCTACTGGAGCTGTCCTTGAACTAAAGGACATCCTCACTAAACACTTGACTCTCAGAGCAAGTTATTTGTCCAGGGACTCAATTACCCATGAATCTCATTTCTATTCTGAGCCATGTATATACTCTCATATGCCCCAAAGTGTGCCCCAGCAGGAGTCCTGGTTAGGATCTCCACTGCTAGGCTCCACTGTCTGAGGGAATAGGTGACTCTATGTGCCTAAGAGGTTGTCACTCCATAGGGCTGTGGAGCTGCCTAAGGCTGATGACCCAATTTCCTATTAAGAATCTCCAGTCCTACCCAGTTTGGCTCAGTGGATAAAGCGTCGGCCTGTGGACTGAAGGGTCCCAGGTTCGATTCTGGTCAAGGGTATGTACCTGGGTTGCAGGCTCCTCTCCGGCCTGGGCCTTGGTCAGGGCTCATGCAGGAGGCAACCTATCGACATGTCTCTCTCACATTGATATTTCTATCTTTCTCTCTCTCTTCCACTCTCTAAAAATCAATGGAAAAATAGCCTTGGGTGAGGATTAAAAAAAAAAAGAGTCTCCAAGCACTTCAAGTTACGTGTGAATGACATCTATTTTATTTCATCCCAAACCAGTAATTCACAAAACAGAGGCCAGAAAGTGCTAGAATGGCTCTTCAATAGCAGATAAGGAAAAAATCCTAAACCCCTTCCCCCTCCCTAAATAAAACAGTCACTACTTCACACACATCTCTATTATCTAAAAAGCTAATGGAACCTTCTAGCTCCCCAACCCCAACTATGCCTCCACTACCGATTCCATGTTCTTTGACCAATGAGTCCCCCAAGAGGCAACTTAAAGGCCATTATGACAACATGCATGTCCAGGAGAAACTTTCCCTTCTCAAAACTCAGTAATCACATGAAAATCCGCTTTGCTGCCTTGACTACAGCTTTTCCTTCTGAATGACAGTGGCCCCACAAACTACCTCTTACAGGTTAGTCTGCATGGTGGGGACAAACCATGCAGACAGCCCAACCTGCCAACACTGGATGCTGCTTGATTGTGAAGATACCCAGCAGGGAAAGGAGCTGATGGAGAAAAGTACATTTCACCAAATTCATAACCAACACAGTACTTGGGAGGGAGGTGAGCCCTCCTAGTGAACGTGGGCATTATGAAGCCAAACATGCAGGGCTCATTCCCACCTTTTGATGTTAATGGAGAAGAGCTGCAACACCTCCAGAGTCGTCCTGCTGATGGTGGCTGCAAATGACTTGCCTTGACAATAGCTGAAGAACAGCATCTGCAACACGTGGGAGTAGTAGACAGACACACCACCACCTGCCACCTGGCTGTTACTGTCCTGTCAGGACAAAGACACAACGTCTGCATTAACTTCTCATGTTGCCTTGGGTACCAGCTTCCCGTTTTGCTGGTTATTAGTTTTAAATCAAGATTGTGAGCTCTCATAGTCTAAAACATGAGATCCCTGGGCTAAATTTTAAAAAGTGAGAATAAAGAAACATCAAGTTGAATTTAGTCCTAAAGGACAATAGTTTTTGCTATTAGGTAAAAAGTTAGAAGAAAAAAGAACAAGAATAGAAGAGCTGCTAAGCTAATTAAATTGGGAATAGAAGGAAACGGCAACATTTGCTCTAACCTTCAGGTCCTCGTGGTTGATTTCCAGAACGTTAGTGACATAGAAGGGTCCCTGCTGGGCACTGCTGGCCTCTTCCATGAGCTGAGTATAGATGTACCCAGCTGAAGACATTATAACAATGATGTTCTTTCCCTCCTCGTTAAAGAGGAAGGTCACATCTCGTATCTTTGAGCTTGGCAGGAGAAAGTAGAAGGTTGGACTCAAGGCATCAACAGACAGGTCATAAATCTGCAGAATGAAAGGAAAAAAGATGAAATCAGGGAGATCTATTGCAGCTCCACCCCCAAATTATCCTGGTAAATCCAAAGAGCTGCAATTGGAGAGCAAGTGCTAGGCACTGATGAATGAAGTACCTGTTACTCTCCCTCAAGGAATGAGTAGGGGAGAGATACACATCAACAAATTCTGCAACAAGTACAGCAATAGCTGTGCACTTGGTATACTGGGGAATTTTACATTGCCTACACACAGAAAGCTCCTGCTCGGCAATGTAACAAAAGGCAACAAAATGTTAGGATTTTTTTATTTTTTATTTCTGAGAAAAGCTAGCACACAATGGAGATCAGACATTCTGGATTTAAAAGCAAAACCATTCTAGGACCACATCATCAGAGCTGTTACTGTACCTTGACAAAATCTGCGGTGACAATCGCTAACTCAGTCTGTGAACCAGGTAACCACACGGCTTTGATGATGAAGTTTCCTGTTGCCAACTGGGGGTGCAACACCAAGTGATCCGAAACGGAGCCTGAGCTACTGAAGGTCAGCACATGGCAGTCCTGGACACAGTTAAAGAACAGAATGGTTGAAAGATGATTTGGAAATAGACTAATTCATTTCAGAGTTCTAATGTTTCCTATTCTTCCCTAATATTCCTTGCCTTCAGACAGTATTCAGACTATCTAGAACATATTCAGGTTTCAAGAACATATAAAGATTATTCCAACATAAAAACAATGTAGAAGAAATTCAGAGAAATATTTCTTTTGCATTCCAATGGTTTTTAAGTTTAACCTCAACAGCCAGTAAGGAAAGTGGTGCTAAGAACAGGAGAGAGAAGGTGACTAGGACCCACAGCTCTAGGTAACCAACCCTGGATCATGACTGTTACCTTCAGCCCACACACAGCCAGGTAGTCTTCCTTGCATGGATTCCCAGTGAGGCTCAACACAGTAAAGGGGACTGGGGCAGATGCTAGGCGGGTCAGCGTCAACTTCCTTTTGCTGGAATCTGCTTGCTTCAGGAGTGCAGAGAGCTGCAGAACAGTGATCTGCAAAGGAACAATTACCAATTTATTCTTAACCCTAGTCTTCTCAGAGAACACAGCAATAACAAACGCTTCTTCAATAGGGATATTAGTTTGCAGGTTTTTATTGTGGATAAGCCTGAGGAAAACCCTAGCCCAATATCACCCTCTATTTCTCCTGGCTAAAAGATATGGAACATCTTCATTTTCTCCACCCAGTGAGGACCAATAAATCTAATTTCTCTTTCTATAATCAGTTCATAAAAATAAGAAATTGCTATGTACTATATCCTTTCTAGTTTACTACGAAATGTTTTTGAGTATTTTCCAGCTCTTTTAAGAACTATTCGTATCTCTAGTTTGTTCTTTTCACTAAAGATAATGTTAAAACAACTTAACTGGTGATGGAGAAGCCAGAATACAGAAAAACGTGAAGATACCCACAACTCTCTCACCTTCCACGGGTTCTAGAACACAACATATAAACTTCCCTGTGTCCTTTGAGGGCTGGGAGGAACCAAATAAGGAACACTCAGTTTTCCTATGAAGCTGTCTCTTGGCTTATGCCTTCCAGAGTGACCAAACTGGGCAGACTGGAAGCCACTCTGTCATAGGTCACTGCTGGTCATTACCTTTCCCTGGGGCTTGAAGGATATGCTTTGAGGGGGAATTTACATTACTGAGAAACAGAGCCTTTGTTCGTCATACTGGGTCTAAGTCTAAGTCACCAAGTGTTCCAGCAGAAATGTTCATTGAGCCCTGTCCTTAAAGCATTCTCAGAACCTGATAGATTTTTCCCAAAGGGCCAATCTGAGCATAGTAAGCTATCTGTTTTACTTAGCACTTAAGATAAATAAAACCTAAAATGAGTGGGAAGGAAATGGGAGTACCCACCTTGCCTTTCTCATGACTGACTGCCAAATGTTGGCGGCGACCATGGGGGGAGGAGAGTACACACATAGCCACCCGCCTGAGTACATGGGCGCTGATTAGCTGTCGAATAGTCTGGCCCTGGTCTCCGCTGTAATTCATCCGAACATTCTCAAAGGCACCTTCCTGGGAGCCTAAGGTGGGAACCTGGCATAGAGGGAAGCAGAGAGAGTAGGCAGTAATGAGGCAAACAAGATCAAGTGGATTCACACACTATTGAAGTGACTAAGATACTGCAGTTAGGTCATTCAGGAGCAATGGACGCCAATCTGTCCATGGACACAGGTAAGTTTGTAAAGTTACTGTCAGCAATAACAACAATGTAGTGAATGTTTCATAAAGCTATATTTAGTTAATAAAAAGTATTAGCTCTTAAAAATGTTATAAAG